GGTAAGTTCTATTCAAGCATTCAACCATGAAAGGCATCATAGCTGAGACTAATGCCTCCAGCCCGGCTTCCACAGATTGGATAGTGATCCAAAACTGGAAATACTACTGGGGTAGTTAAAGCCAAATAAAGTATCCCTAACCAATGAGGTAGCAGGCCCACTTACAGCACAGTGATGGAAGCTGGGTTTTCTGGTTGGGTACAGGGTAGTACAGAGTACATGAAAGGTGATGTCTCACCCTATAGTTTAAAGCCATCCTGTCTGCAGAATGTCACTGAATAGAAACATAAATTGCTGACTGGGATGCAGTGTGAAGTCAGTGGGGGTCAGTCATGTGGGCTATATCATATGGACTAAAGTATAAGCACTGCCTAATTTTTAGCTCTATCGACAGATTAACATGCTATTTACAGCAAGCAGGCCATTCGACAAACACGTCTCTGGCTGCCTTACTTCATGTCACCCTAACACCTTCCATTTCTTTCTGCTTTAACTGTTTCTCTAGCTTCCCCATAACTGGTCAACACTATTCATCTCAACTACTTCACATTGCAGCAAGCTCTATATTCTCCTCAACATCACAGTAACCAGGTTACTGCTGAATTTCCTTTATAATTTATTCTATTTATGGCCTCTAGTTCTGGTATCACCCAAGTGGAAACACCTTCCTCACATCTACCCAATCAACTCCTTTCATCATCATAAAGACTTCAGTCAGGTCAACCTGGCAGTTTTGCCTTTTTGAGAGACTGTCCAATCTTCCCTGTTGGTACCTTTTGTCCCCGCTGGTCTTAGTCTCCCAATTCTAGCATTATCTGCTAAAACATTGTTTAACTTTCTTCAATGTCTCTAAATCCTAGTTCTACAATGGAAATGTAACTATTGATATCTCTTGGTCAAATAGCAGAACTAGCAGTTCATCTGATGATATTTGTTTTGTTCTCTGACCCAAAGTGAGTTTCCACTGCAGTGAGACTGACCTGAATTCAGTCCAAGCGTTTCCTGTCAACCAGAATGTCATCCCCCATGGCCTCTTTTCCCATTGAGATCCAACTGTCCATACTCAAGGAGCACCTCATGATCACACCTTGGACAGAGAAGCATTGATCAGAATGGCACTGTGTCATTCCACCCCCACCCAACCAACCCTGACCTCTACTCCCCTCACAGTTCCACTACCATGCTCTCACACCTTGAGATCAGTTGTGGCTCGTTTTGTAGCACTGTCACCTTGAACTCAGGCCAGTTCTCAGTCCATGTTCCAATCGAGGACTTAATCTCAAAAATAAAGACTGATGTTCCACTGTGGTGTTGAAGGACTGCTCTATTGTTGGAAGTTCTGTCTTTCAGGTGAGATGTTAGGTGGAGCCTCTATCTGATCTCTCAGATGGATATTGATGGCACTATTGCAAAGTACAGCAGATTTATCCCTATATAAAAGCAGAAAATGCTGGAAAAATTCAACAGGCCTGACAGAATCTGTGCAGGGAGAAACAAGGTTAATGTTTTGTGTCCGATATGACTTTACTTCAGAGCCTGGAGTTTTGAGGAAGTGATGTTGGGCTTGAAACATTAACACCGCTTTTCCCTCTACCGATTTTGTGAGACGTGCTGAGACTCTCCAGCGTGTTCTGCTTTTATTTTCACATCCCCAATATTTTGCTTTGGAGTTCTCCCTGTTTGATATATATATATTCCTCAACAACTATCACATTGTGACTGCGGGAGCTGGCTGCGCACAAACTGGCGACTACTTTGAAATAGCAACTGCACTTCAGAAGTAATTCTTTCTGAAGCACTTCTGGGGCAGCCTGCGGTCGTGAAAGACGCTATATAAATGCAAGTCTTCAGAGCAGGGTTGTGCGAGCCCCTGAGCTCAGGAACGGCTCCCGCTGTGAAACCTGAGACACTGTTGGGGGGGGTGATCGCCCGCGACAAGCGAGCAAGTGAAGGCCAGAGCTAGCTGGTTGCAGTCACCCTGAGAGAATAAAACCTGACACAAGGATGATGTTACAGGGGGCTCTCGTGCAATTTGATTTCATTAATGCGTCCGCATGTCTCCATCCGTCCACATCTCACTCTCCAAACTGAAGCAGCATCTTTCAGTTCTGAGGAGCCCCTGAGTGGGTCTTAATGACAGGTTTCACCTAATCCCTTAACACCTTGTTTAATTAAACTTCACGGCCGATCGCTGATTCGCTCCGTGTCTTGGCCCCTATTTCCGCCCCCCCCCCCCTCAATTTACCAAGAGATGTATTTTTCCGTAATCCTAACCGCAGCAAACTCCTTCAGAAAAGACGTCCCTCTAATGACTCTTGGGCTTGTTTGGATTTATTATTGGAGAATGTGCCCCGGCTGCTTGACTTCTACTCACTAATTTACACATTTGTTCATGGTAGACTGCTTCACAAAGCTGCAATTTTTCCACTCTCACAGCCTCACAAATGACCACATCACACCTGCAAACATTGTTTACAGCTTCCCCGCCACGATCAAATTGAATTTGAAGGACGGTTACATTTTAAGCCCTTGAAAGGCTTTTGCTTATATATATTTTAGTCTAATCCTCTAGGCTCTAACCTCCTCGCTTCTAATTTTCATTTCGCTTCCTCTGGCCTCCTTTGGCAAGTTACAGAGCGATATGACTCTTGGCGACTTCAAGCTGTTTTCGGAAGAAATGTCAAACGGGAACAGAACTGGGTTCCACCTGCAGCAAGAACCGAACTTGCAAATTTACGCCGGTCGCCACTCAGAGCGGGGCAATACGAGTTTACGTGAGGCCAGATCAGCAGCAGCAGGGATGTGCTGCCGCCTCCTGGTGGCGGGTTCTGGGGAAACAAGTTCACATTTGGGCTGGCGGACAAGTGTTTCTGACTGAGAAGAGGATTCGTGGACTTACCTCTGACCTGTTGGGGGAATGTGGTCTGTCTGACATTGTGGGCATGCAGTTAAATTAATCAGAGGAGGAGAGAGCGTATCTACATTGATGACTCGTAGGGAAGGCTTCAAATCAGGAATGAGCATATTCTCTTAATTCATGCTTAATTTGTTATCTCTGGTAAGACCAGGCTACCTTATGTCAATGTTACAATGTGGGAATTTGTTAGAGCACAGTGTTACAGTTTGGCGTGTGTATTTATTTGAGTACTAAAGTGAGGGATGTATGTTGTATCAATGTGCTACAGTGAGGATGATGTGTTGTGGTTGGGGGGTGTGTTTTACCAGTGTGTTTCCGTGGGGGGGGGTGCATGTTATTTTCAGTGTGTTACCATGAGGGGTGCATGTAACAGGGAGGGGAGTGAATTATTTCAGTGTGTTACGGTGAGGGGTGTGTATTATATAAATAGCGTTATGGTGTTGGGAAGGTTTGATGCGTTGCCTGTTCTTAATTAGTGATCTCCATCAGTTCAGCAGTTGAGGAGCCCCCGGGTTAGGGAGGGGAAAATCAGCTAAGGTTCCCAGTTTCGATCATTATCCAGAAACTCCTGTGGGGAATTCCATGTGCCTGTGTCTTGGATGTGGACAGGTGTAGGAGTGGTTGTGATGCCTCACTTGGTCATATAAACTGCTGATGTTGACTACCCATTGTCACAGCAGGACCACTGGCAGGTACAGGGTCCAAGTGCTACCCAGTAATCCAACAGGGTACTGCGTAGTCCAGAGAGGATACACTGGGGAGAAAGAGTGAGAGGAATTCAGTGTACTTGGTGCATCATTGTGCTGTACAGCCCTTCATCACAACTTGCTGATGTGTTAAAGCCTCCAGCATCACCCTGATGGTGAGGCTGAGAAATGTTAGCAGGCTGTGACTGGTCTACACAGGAGCCCCACAGCGACCAGTCCATGACAACATTAAATATTCCTCGCCCTTCAAGAAGGGCTGGATCTGACATTAACCCCATCAGGGTCTAATTCAACCAGCCTAATCTTTTTAGAATTATAAATTGAAAATATCGTATATCACCTTTGTATATTTATAGGAGAGACAGCCGTAGGATTTTAATGATTCTGTTTAATAACATGGATCTTTACTTACATTGTAATCCCCTGAAAGTTTGCTGCTGCTGAGCCGCTGTATGCAGTAAGATCCAAGGTTCAGGCTGTTCAGTCCAGATTGAGTTTAGCTGATCTCAGCTGGGCAACGGCAGAGGCTACAATACCCATCAGCCCTTTCCCGTTCCAGATTGACAATCTGGAGTATGCCCCAAATTTGTACTCGTGTGCACACTGAGGGCAGAATCTCGTTCACATGTGATTCACTCTATAATCTGCAAATGTTTTTCATTGGCCATCACATTGGATCAGAGTTAAATTCCACTGAGGGGGTGGTTTTAGTGGAAACAACAAAAGCAAATTTGAACTGGAAGCTTCACACTGGGTCATGGGCTTTGGTCAATCACACAGGGTCATTTGCACTGGATTCCTCAAACTAGCTCCTTCATTCTGGATCGTTTCCATCTGATCCTTCACAGTGGATCCTTCAATCTGGATCATTCAGACTGGGTCCTGTAATGGCTTGGGATTGAGATGTGGGCTCAGAACAGTCAGTTTGGCTGCTCCATTAACAGTTGTTCATGAGACACTAGTTACTGCCACATCAATCAGAGTTGCTTTGGAATTAGAAAACATTGCTGTGGTATCAATATTGTGCCACATAAATAGTATGTACTGTATCTTTGATTGAGAAGGAAGGTGTGAAATTTCCCCTGGCACTACACCTGATTTACAAGGAAATTACCTAATATTTTATTATCACCCACTTTGTCTTTCCATGAGGAGTCACGGGAGAATAGCCATACGATGCCTTCAAGAGGAGTTTCTATCTATCACCTCTCATTAGAAACATCATGGAGGATTGGACTATCCCTCAGCCTAATCTTGGCCCTGTCTGTGGTCCATCTTATTTTGGTTGGGTCCTTGGACACCCTCAAGGAAGAAGTTGTGTGTGTCATTCTTTGAGCACCATTCAATCCTGACTCTTTCTTTTTACTCCTCAATAGGCAATCGCTTGGATGATGGGACCTCGGACGTGGAATCTGAGCCTGATCTCCCTCTGAAACGAAAGCAGCGACGCAGTCGCACCACATTTACTGCAGAGCAGCTGGAGGAGTTGGAGAAAGCCTTTGAGAGGACCCACTACCCAGACATCTACACTAGAGAGGAGCTAGCCCAGAGAACCAAACTCACAGAGGCACGAGTCCAGGTGAGGTCACCAAGTAACACCATGTTGTGTCCAGAGTCAACAGCGCACTAACAAGGCATTCAACCCAATATGTCTAGACTGGCATTTGTACTCTAGGGGCCCTGCTGCATCAGCATATCTTTCTATCTTTTTCAACTCAGCAAAGCAGATTGAGGGAAGATTTTGATAGAGGTAGGCAGGATTAGGACAGATTTAGAGATGGGTGATTGTTCCCAGTAGCTGATGTTATGAGGACCAGGGAAGAAAGATTTAGGATTTTGAGAAGATCTCACATATACACAGTAAGTGGTAATAACCTGCAACCCACTATCTACAAAGGGGATGGAAGTGGAGTTGATCAATGATTTTAAAGGAAATTGGATGGACACTGAAGGAAATAAATTACTTACAGGGGTCCTGGGATACAGCAGGGGAATGGAACTTACAGGATTGCTCTACAGAGACCTGACATAGATTAAATGGGCTGAATGGCTTCCCTCTGTGTCATAATTACTCTACCTGATAAGAAGAGAAAATGCAACATTTTCAAAGTCACTGACACAGGAGAGATGCCATACTGACTCTAGTGAGAGGTGTTGACTTCTTCCTATTGACATATTTCAAACCGCATTGCTGGGTTTCCTGTGGCAGTGTTAGTTCTGACAAGGCTGAAAGTTACAACTCAGTCTCAGCAAGGCTAGAAGGTCTGATAGAACTAAGAACTTGGATATTGCTGAATAGAAGACGCAATTCCTTAAACGTTTTTGCCTTGCACTCATCAGGACAATTCACAGGAATACCAATTCAAGGGGGGGAAAAACCTTAATATTTGTACCATATGAAAGAAAAATATTGATTGGTTGGCCAGTGGAGTCTGATTGTTAGAGGCATTGCCAGGGATAATGCATCAGTTAACAATGGCATTGTTTAAATTTTAAACCAGGCAAGTTGATTCTGATTGGTCAAGCATTGCCCTGAAAAAGAATCAGTGAATCACTGTCACCTATTTTGTTGAGTTTTTCCTCATGGCTCAATCAATCTGCATATAAAAGGGCTTCCCAAGGCACTCAAAATCTCTTCAATAACATCCCTAAAGACCCTTTCCATCCTGTCCTCCAAGTCACTTTCTAGTCCATGAGAAAGGAGCAGTGTGTAATGGAAGTGAATTGGGGAGGAGGTGAAAACTATTGATTTGCTGTACTGTGGGAATAAATAAGGAAATGGTTTGGTCAACTGACACTTAAAAAGCTTATCAAAAGCTTTATCATTTATCTAGTGGTACATATATTGAGTGAATAAGCAACAAGTTGTTTAGGGTTCTGTTTGTTAGTTCTATGATTACCACAAGGCTCTTGGGAGCTGTTTCAGGAACAAACCTCAGCAAAGGTCAGTTTCTGCTCCTGCAAATTGCATGGATATAACACCCACAACCAGTTTTCATAGGGTAAGGGCAGCATCATGCCCGGCATATCACAGGACCTTCATGGAGCTAAAATTTACCAAAGCTCCCACAATTGTCTAAACAATATTGGGGATGAAATCGGCTTTTGCTAGTAGCAGGAAATGAGCTTGTATGAATGGACCTCACTCTCAAATCCATTGACTTAAATACGAGAGAACGTTGGGTCTTTGGTTTAGAATTAAATGTGGATTCATTACTAGCCCGCTGTGTACTGCTGCCAAAGGCCAATTTGACTCCCTGCCAGAACATAGTTGCTCAGGTGCCAAACATCCTCCAATAACTCCTCATTCCTTTGTATGCTAGACAGAGAGTGTTGCTAGGGCATTTGAGAGTGGGGAGCACTTCGGCTGAGCCAAATACTATCTTCATCTAATGTCCACATACAGGACAGTGATCAGGAGAAGGAACCCTGTTTATTTGCCACACTGTTCTTGAGGCCAATTGTGCAGCTCCACTGTTACCTGGGCTAAACTCAGTTAAATTAACAGTGACCAGGCTGTTCACCTGGGATTGTAAAGGTGTGCATGGCTCAGTTATGTAACAGTTAAATATTCGCCAGCTACCTTGGAGACATTTTGTTGCATCGCATTGGCATGACATTCTTCACCAATGTGACTGTACATTTTTAGCCCAACATTCAAACTGTTTGCAATATAGAGAACTTTTAATTGCATAAACTCTGAGATTGTGTGGGAAGCTCATCGGAAGACAGATAATTTGGAAATTGACCTTTGAGTTGGTTCTCCACTTCTTTTTCCCTTTGAATAGAGAGTCCAACTGTGAGAGTAGGATGAATGAATTTCTCCCATTGGGTTTAAAATGTCACTGACTAACCATTGTTGCTAAAGAACATTGGTGAAGAGACTGGGAGAACTGGGCAGAAAGAGGGGCTTTTGTAGAGGTGAGTAAAGAGAAATTGGTCCCATGTGGCAGAAGTGTTGTTAACAAGATGACAGAGTTAAACAAACCAGAGGCAACATGGGGACATTGTTTTCTTCAGATGCAACAAGTTTGTGATGTCTGAAAGTTGGAGGACAGAGACAGTGGACATAACTTCAACAGTGTCATTCAAAAGGGAACTGGAAATATTCGAAAGGAAAAATGTTAAGAGCTATGGGGACAGAAGAGGGGAGTGGAACTTTTAAAGAGCCAGCAGAGGTATGGCAGACTGAATGGCCTCTTTCTGTACAATATGGTTCTGTGACATAGACTTTCCCCAGTCTCATTACTGGGTTTATTTGGAAATGAATTATTTGGACTCTAATTTCTGCCCATCTCACCTTACACTGTGGTGTCAGTACAGTCATGACATTTCCTCTGTTTTGGTTGGCTTGTGAGATTTCGGTGCAGTTTCTGAGTTGCTTGTTTTAATGTCAGGATGTCCTGTTTGAAACAGGACAGTTGAACTGGAACAACACTCATTGACAATTTGAATGATTCCTTGACAGAACCTCCACACAAAACAGCAAGAGCCAGCTGTTGTGGGAGTAAAGCACAGACCTTTGGGCCAGAACAGGACTGGAGAAAGTTTTTAATATGGCCCTCTGGCTTGGGCAAGACCCTGGGATAAGGTGGCATTTTGTGGTGTTCTTACAGTCGCAGCAAGTTGTTGTGCCCAGGGGACTGCTCCATCAACAAGAAACTCAAAATAACAGATGTCAATGCAAGCTGTATGAGGTTGTAGACTTGCTTGCTGAGCCGATGTGTTTGATTGCAGACGTTTCATCGCCCTGCTAGGTAACATCGTCAGTGCGCGTTCGGTGAAGCGTTGGTGTTCTGTTCCGTTTGTTATTTATATCCCCCAGTTTGCTGGGGTGGTTGGCATTGCTTCCTGTTCTGTTTTTCAAGACCTTTTCCTCCCACACCTCACATTATATACCAGCACTACTCCCCAGCTATCCGTCAAACACTTCCCCAGCAGCAGTTCTTCACCTCAGTCTCCAAGGATTCCATATCTCTGAAGAATATCATTAGTCAGATGTAGTACTTTGAATAATAGAATCATAGAATCCCTACAGTGTGGAAGCAGGACATTCAGCCCATCGAGTGTACATCAACCGTCGGAACAGTATCCCACCCAGATCCACGCCCTACCCTATCCCGTAATTTCCCATGACTAATCCAACTAGCCTGCACATCCCTGGACACTATGGGCAATTTAGCATGGCCAGTCCACCTAACCTGCATGTCTTTGGACCGATGACAATGTTAGGTTGCACTTGGTGATATTAGATTGGAGGCAGGCATCCTCTGCCTTGTCTTTATTTCTGAGGCTACCACAATGAGTTCTCTGGCCCTTGCCTGCATGGTTGGGGGAGGTGGGGGTTGGGGGTGTGTGGTGGACAGGCTTTAGGCTGTGTAAGTGCTACAGTGATTAATGTTTACAATCTTTCAGAAGGCCCCAGAGAGACTGAGTGATCGACACTGAAATGTAGAAAATGTTTGAGGGATCGGTGGACTTGAAAGTGGTGGGAAGAGGCTGGATCTGGCAGTGAGAAATCCTTCTGGAATGCGTGCTCACAACAGCTGTCGTCTTTATTCTTTCTCTCGACAAACAAACTTCTATTTAACTTTTTTACCCCTTAAAGCTGAGATTTTTTTTGTCATTCCACTCACTTGGAAATGAAATGAGAGTAAAAATGTCTTTTAGCTATCTTGGAGTATATTAGAGTTATGGAATCTTACAACCTACAAGGAGACTGTTTGGCCCATCATGCATGTGTCATCTCATTTTAAATATCTATCCATTTATCCTCTTCCCTGGGCCAGAGTTGCTGAGGTCACTACTAGCTATCTCCTTTGGCTTTCTGGTGAATCATTGCTGCTTAGTAGCATTGTCTATGATTCCTTCCATCCCTTTGCTGATGATTGATAGTAGACTGATGGGGCGGTAATTCACCATGTTGGATTCTTCCTGCTTTTTGTGGACAGGTCATATCGTGAGTAGTATCCACATTGTTGGATCAATGCCAGTATTGTAGCTATACTGGTGCAGTTTGGCCATGGGTACAGCTAGTTCTTGAACACAAGTCTTCATCACTACATCAGAGATATTGTCAGGGCATGGTCTTTATTGTATCCAGTGCCTTTAGCAGTTTCCTGACAGCATGTAGGGTGAATCAAATTGCCTGAAGTCTGGAATCTGTGACAGTGGAAACCTCAAGAGGATGCCAAGATGGCTCAACCACTCAGATCTACCAGCTGAAGATGGTTTCAACCTTGTCTTTTGCACTGATTTACTGGGGTCCCCCAGCATTGCAAAGGGGAATGGTCACAGAGCCTCTTCCTCCCTTTAACTAGTAATGATCCACTGCTGTTCACAATGGAATGTGACAAGTCTGGTTTTGGGATCACTTAGTTGTGATTACAGTATACTGGTTTCACTGTTTCGCCTGAAGGCAGCCTGTGGCTTCACCAGGTTGACACCTCTCTGTATCTGAGCCCTGACTTTCATTTAATAATGAGACCACTGGGAACTGCACTCATTGCCAAAACCAATGGCGACATGGAGCAGGGAATAGTGCTATTCTGTTTTATCGGCTGTACACTCCTTTTTCAC